ATTGTAACTAGCTTAAAATTGAATGATTCTTAGTTTATTATAAGGTTAACTTAAAGGCACTCCTGATTCATCAAATCTCGTTGCAATTTACTGATCCAGTCGTGCAAATTGCTCCATTGAAGTTGAATAATCCAAACTGCCATGATGACCAATTCCCTTCACTTAGAAATTTGCTAAAAATCCAAATTATCTTCAAATTTAGCGAAACTTGTGCCTTTCAAAGCTTAGCTTATAAAGCTCACTGATTTCAAAGTTTCAATTGAATCCAATGATAAGGCACTGAGAAATACCTTTCCAAACTCGATTAATTCAAACTGCAAAGGCAGTCGACTCCCTTACACTCAAAATTTCACCCAAAATTCAATTCAACTTCAAATTGAGCGAACCTTACCTTGTTGAAAAGCTAATAATAAAAGCTACAATTACAAGGAATTTCACATTAAAAATAAAAAAATTGAATGACTCATTGAGGAAAATCCAAAGCTCTTGAAACCCTTAGAGTATTTCGGAGGCCAAGGAAGCTATCTACTACAACGAAGCATGTTTTAAAACCCAATGACTATCATTCACAACTAAAAATCCATGCATATCCATCCAAAAAGTTCACAATGAGCTTTGAAAATCTAAATAAAATTAAGATTAGGATTTTTGGCCAAATTTTGGCATAGCTTTGCCCTTCACCAAAAGAAGAAAGAGAGAGGTCTTGGAGGACCAAGCCACTCATATACAATTGAGTGGTGGGTTGTGGAAGGGCGGCCACATCTCCACCCTTGATCTCTAAGATCCCTAATGTAGATCTACAGCCCTCATTCATCTAAGAGCCAATTTTGTTACTAAGGCTGATGGCTCTTGTAAGTCGTCAAAAAATCATTTTTTTGGTGAATCCAATTTCACCATTGTGTTCAAAACACCTTATTATGCAAAGATCAACTACTCACATGCCTCAATCCATGCTCAATTGCAATTTTCATGGAAGTTTTTAGCTTTAAAGGTTTTAGCAATTATTGTAAAATCCTTCAAAAATAAAAATTTCATTGCTTTACTTGTATGTTGGAGGAGAAGGTACTGATCTTATTTTTTTCACTCCATGGGATGAATAAAATTCCACCATTGCATTTGAAAGTCTCTATTAATTGAAAAAAACTACTTTGCTACTTGAATTTATTGAAGTTGAAGAAAAAGCTTAAAAACTGTCATTGCTTAACTTCACTAAATCTTTTAGAAAGTTCTAATTCTAATTTACTCTAAATCATATGAAATGATTGTAGGTGAACTCATAAGCTCTTTGTCAACCCTCATAGTAGTGACTAACGACCTCTAAATTATCAAAACTAACTAAGTTCTTACTTTAATTTTTTAATTCTTATTATTTTAATCCTAATTAACTTAATTCAAGGAATTAGGCTATAATTTATACCATAAAAGTTTGTAATCCTAAAAATTCTATAAAACTAAATTCCACTTATATAAGTCCTAATCTGACATGTTTAATTAACATAAAATAAGAAAATAACAAAAATTTAAATTTTAGAGCATAATTGAGAGCTCACAAAAGGCCAAATAATTTAGGGGAGGAAAAAAAATACCTAAAGTAGTTAAAGAAATTGACAAGCAATAAGAGTAATGTAAGTTCTCAATTATGCTCTAAAATTAAAAAATTTATTATTTTCTTATTTTATGATAATTAAACATGTTAGATTAGAATTTATATAAGTAGAACTTATTTTTATAGAATTTTTAGGATTATAACCTTTGATGGTATAAATTATAGATTAATTCTTTGAATTAGATTAATCAGGAGTAAAATGATAAAAATTAGAAAATTAAAATAATAACTTAATTAATTTTAATAATTTAGAAGTTTTTAATCACTACTATGAAGGTAAACTAAGAGCCTAGGACTTTACCCACAATCATCTCATATGATTTAGAATGAGTAAGAATTATAAGTTTTTAAAAGATCTGGTAAAGTTTAATAATGACAGTTTTGAGATTTCTTCTAAATTCAACAAATCTAAGTAGTATAGTGGTTCTTCTAATTAATAAAAGCCTTTAAAATGCAATGGTGGCATTGAATACACCTTGTGGAGTGAAGGAAACAAGATCAGCATCCTATTCTTCAAAATATAAGTAGAACTATGAAATTCTCATTTTGAAGAATTTTTCTAGAATTGCCAAAATCTTTATAGGTAAAAACTTTCATAAAAATTACAAATAAGCATGGATTGAGGCATGTGAATAGTTTATCTTCGTATAAAAGGTATTTCAAATATAATGGTAAAGTTAGATTTATCAAAAAGTGCTTTCTTTGACTACTTACAAGAACCATTAGCCATAGTAATGAAATTAGCTCTTGGATGAATGAAGTCTATAGATCTACATTAGAGATCATAGAGATCAAGAATAGAGACATGGCCACCCTTCCACAAGCTACCACTCAATTGTATAAGAGTGGTTTGGTTCTTCAAGCCCTTTCTTTCTGTTTTTGATAAAGGGCAAAGTAATGTCAAATTTTGGCCTTAAATCCTAATCTTAGTTTTATTTTTGATTTTAAATCTCATTGTAAACTTTTGTGGATGTGTGTATATGGATCTTGAGTAGTGAATGATAGTTTTTGGATTTTAAAATATGCTACATTATAGTAGATAGCTCCCTTAGCCTCTCAAATATTTCAAGGGTTCTAAGAACCTTGGATTTTTCTCAATTAGTCATTTATTTTTTTAGTTTCAATGTGAATTTTTTTGTGATTGTAGCTTTTGATTGTTAGCTTTTTAATAAAGTAAGGCTTGCTCGATTTGGAGTAAGAACAAAGTTTTGGAGAAATTTTGAGTACAAGGGGATTGGCTGCCTTGGCAGTTTAGATCAACCACCTTTGAAAAAATATTTCTAAGTGCCTCTCAATTGGATTATTGTGAATTTTGGAGAATAAGTGCATCTTTAAGCTGAAATTCTAGTAGCATAAGTTTTACTACATTTAAAGATGAATTGAATTTTTGATGAATTTCAAAGTAGAAGGAGGTTGCTTGCCTCGGCAATCTTGGTCACTAAATTTTGAAGGAGCATTTTTTACGGTTTTAGTGTTGGATTGAATTGAAAATTGTTGGAGCAAGAGTAATTTTAAGTTAATCTTAAAAAGATCAAAATCATTCACTTTGGAATTCATCACAATTTTTGGCAAACTTTGGAGTGGAAGAGGATTTGCTACCCTCAATTCTTAGGCGTTATCAAGGTACCTTTGCTTTTATTTCTCTTTAGTTCCATTTTTATTTTTTATACTTCTACTAACTCATAACTTCCATATTTTACTTTAGCTTTTAATGTTTAATCTTTAAGTTTTAATGTTTAAGATTTTTATTTTTATTATATTTTAATGATAAGAATAATATCAATTACTTTTACCATTAGTTATTTAAGGAGTAATAATTTATAAGTTTCAACTAATTAATTATTTATCTTTTTTAATTAATTATAATTTTACAATCACATAAAATTTAGTAGTTAAGTAAAGGTCATATAAATGATTTTGAATAATTCATTGAGATTTAAGTAGAGATCATATAAATAGCCTTGAAAGACTATAGTAAATTTCATTAAATATTTTTATTAATATTAATAACCATTACTTGAAAGGCTTAAAATTAATTGAACTATAAATTCCAAGATTTAAATTAACTTAGTAATTACATAATTGAAAGTTCTTCAATTTCACCTCTTAAACTTATTGTATGGCTTTAATTTCATTGAGTCATGAAATTTGAGATCACAAGCAAATGTAAAAAAAAAAAAAAAAAAAAAAAAGAATATAGAATCTCCAATTTTATTCCTATATAGATCCAAAATATAGAAAATTCTCAAAGATATTTGTATGGAACTATGAGAATTCAATTTCAATCCATAAAGTACTATCTAGCACCCTTGGAGGTTAGACTATCCTTCATCCTTCTTCAATTGACATATCTAAAAGATAGGAATAAATAGAATGAAGACTTTAAGAATGAAGTCTTTCAAAGCCAATGAACTTATTCAGCAAATGAAGGCTATGCAAGAGTAGATGACTCTTTTAATTAAAAGTCAAAATCCAAACTAAGCCCCACCTTTCATAGAATCTGATAGACACACTTTACGACTTTAATGCATTGAATGTAGCCAATTGAAGGATATAAGTCAATTTTATTTAAACTAGAAAAATTACCAATATAACTAAATAAGATTATAATTATATTTTTAACTTCATAAGAACCAAAATATGATATATTCTAATTTTCAATTCTAATCTTGAAAAAATTCCATCTAAGGCTTTAGAAACCAAGAACAGTAATAATAAGAGATACACCACCTATGCTAAAAAAGCCACCCACCAAGTAGTTTTTGGATAGAAAATGGAATATTATATAAAAAAAATGTGGAAGAAACCATCTTTTGGATGTATAAAAAACCTAACAAAGTAGTTCCTTTAAAATTTCTATAAAAAAAATTAATAATAGTAAGCCCAAAATCATTTGAAGGAAACATGTGAGTCATTGAATTGATTCACTTGATTATTTAATATAAAAAATTCCCTTATTGTGCTTAAAATGATAGATTTTGTAAGTTAAAAGTAGAATTATTTTTAAAAAATAGAAACTAAATTGCCAATACTAGACATGTAGTTGAAGATAGAATTTATCAAGATAAATTTCTATGATAAAAAAGTTTTTGTAGTTATCATTAGATGATGGCCAATAGAAATATTTCTTATTGTCAAAAAGAAAAATAAAAATAAAAGATAAGAAAAGTAGAAAGAAGAAAGAAAATAGAAGAAAAGAAAAAGAGAAGAAAAAATAAATAAAAATAAATAAAAATAAAGAAAATAATATAAAGAAAATAAAAGAGATGATGAAGAAGGCTAGAGAATGCTCAAAAATGGTAGCAACCTCTTTGTTGATAAGGGTCCGATCACCCCAATCCCTACTTTTCTTGTTTTTTCTTTTTTTTTGGTTTTGTGTGATGCTTTTTGAATGCTCCAATCCTCACAATGTATTTTTCTTCAAGAGGGTGTGGCTACAATTGTTTATTCATTTTTACAGAAGTGTTGTAGCTGATCTAAGGCGGCAACGTGGTGCTCTTAGGCGTCGTTGTTGATCTTTTATGAGCAATGAGTGCAGTGTTATAGTGGAGATCCTTGTTGCAGTTGATCAGGTCTTTGCGACGAGAGTGCTGCGAGGTTCATTAACTATTTGCTGGGCAGTGCTAAGAAAGGCCAAAGTATGGGCAGTGTTGTTGTGAGGAGGCGGTTTATCTCCGAGGGCTAGGGAATCTTTCGTAGATAGGAGTGGCGCTGCGCTTGGTGGAGGACTTTATCACCGATCTTCGACTTTCAATTTTTTTTGTGATCGAGAGGAGCTCCAAATTTTGCAAAAGAATTACATTGGCTAAACTAGAATCAGGCATGGCGTTGTTGCTAGAGGTCAAGCTGTGGAAAGCAGTAACTATTCCTTTTGGTATTTTTTTGTTTTTTATTTGTATTCGGCACACTTGGTGGTTGTTGGCATAGATTTTTCCATATTTTGAAGTGGCAGTATTGGTTGCTCTTCGTGGATATAGTGAAGTAGTGACTCTTGTCATTTACGAGGAAGTTTTGTTGCTCATGTAATTTGGACAAGAGAGTTATGGTGATTGCGATGTGGTCTAGCTTCGGAAAGGTCGTCAACAATTCTTGTTCCTATTCAGCTGGTTCCAGAATTTCTTCCTGTTCATTGAGGTACTGCTGTTGGAACAATGTTCTTACAGGAAGAGGAGTTATATCTGAATGCGGCTGGAGCGACGACAGTCTACTAGGGTTCTCTTCTTCGATGATTGCGGTCCAGTTGCAGTGACTACAAATCTTAGTCATCGACTGGAAGTAATACGTCACGATATTTATTCTTCTCTTGTTGATGGATTGTAGTGGTGGAGGCTAAAGGCTTGTGATTTGGTAGTGAATGCTAATGCGGTGTATTTGGATTTTTTTTTGCTTTTCTGGCTTTGATCTTGGAGACGTTACAACTTGCGGCGGTTGTCGCTGCAATTATTGTTAAATTTTTTTAACAGTATTTCAATAGTTTAGAACATCTGCGGGATAGTCGTTCTGCTTGTAGTGGCAATTCTAGCACAATGCACAAGGTAGACTTGCGGTGGGGTGCAGACTTAGTTTCGTTCATTTTTTGTTATTTTGAGCAGTTGATTGAATTTTTGTTCTTTCTTGTAGTATGCAGCAGTTGTGGATGCAGTGTAAGAAATATCAATGCGGTGCTATGGTGGACATCAACGAGCTATTGTAAATTCTGTTAGCACCTCGAGTGAGTGACTGGATGTGATAATCATCAAGTCCTAAGAATGGTTTACAAACTAGTTTGACTCAGTAGGATTGATTAGAATCAGTTTTGGATTTCAACATAATCTCTTCTCTAGGCCATACACTTGTAGTCACTGCAACATAAAACCAGATCAAGAGGAGTCCAGGTCGGGTGGATTCTGAAGTGAGCAAATGTCTCAATCAAAGGAATCTCTTGATAAGAACATTTTTTTGTAAAGTACTGATTTTATGGAATGAAGTTAGGGTTTGGACAATTTGATGATTGAATGAATTTGGATTAGAGTTGGATGAAATCTCATTTTTAAATAAAAACTTATTTATGGATGAGAATTCATTTGTAGGTGATAATTTATACTTAGATGATCTCTTATGGATGAATTTAAACAAATAAAAACAAATAAATAAATAAATACTTATAATAATAATAATAATAATTAAATAATTAAAATTAAGATCCAAAAAGAAGAAAATTCAATAACATGAATTTTAGGGATAAATTACAAGAGTGAATTAATAGTAAAAAGTTGCTTAATATTTGGATTATCTTGAGGTGTTCAAAGAATGATTTAAATTAGAATTTAATTATGAGCTATAACTCATTAAACTTGCTTAATTAATTAATTTATTATAATTTAGGATAACTTCTAATTAGAAGAAGTAAAATTCTCTTCAATTGGTGATTTAAGTAAGTTAAGAATAAATGGATTGAGAATTAGATAAGAACTAAAATTTCTACAAATTCTATAATTAATTCATTGGTTGTGAACTAAAATAAACTTCCAACTAATAGAGGTTTACTTTAGCTCATATTTTGGTGCATTTGCTGAGAGTTTTACCTTACAAATCTTAAGCTTGCTTGGAAGGCAATTGTTTTATCATCTTATATATATATATATATATATATTTTTTTATCTTGTTCTAATATATTTTTTTGGTATTATTGTAGTTGTTCTTGTGTAAGAACTTAGAGTGAAGAAGGAGCTTGAAGAATTTTAGAATGAAGTAAAAAGAAGCTTAGATAAAGATTTAGAATTATTTTAAGGACTAAAATTAAATTTGGATCAGACGAGGATCTTCATCATAGGTGGAGCTCTTCAAAATTGGTCATTACTTCCTCACTTTGTCAATTTCTTATTAAAGGCTCATTTCTAGTGATTGAAGGAATTTAATTTCTAGTGGTTGAAAGGATTTAATTACCCTCTCTATTCTTTGTATCTTCTCTTTTCATTTAATTGTAATTTCCTTATTGAAGGCAATTCTTTAGTGGTAGAGGAATTTAATCACACTCTCTATCCATTATATCCCTCTTATTCATCCATGTAATATAGAAGTAGGGTCTTCAACAAGCATTTCAAGAATTACTTCATTAACAAGTCAAGAAAGATATTAGGAAGAAAAAAAGTAAACAAAAATAAGGTAGAAGTGATAAAAATCATAAAAGTTTAATGCATCGCTCTATTAGGTCCCGTAAACCCATATTAATATAAACTTTGGAAAATCCAGAATCCTTAAGAGTTATTAGACCCCTCTTGCCAGATATTAAAACTTTAATTTTTTGACCTGATTTAAACACATCTAAAAATCTCTTTAAAGAATTTGAAGACCATTTTTTTTTAAATCTTGAAGAAAATTTTTAAAAAATATTTTAAAATCTTTTGATAGATAATATAATTATTTCAAATCAAAAGGATTTTTTTTGCCTCAATTGCAAGGAACATTGGATCTAAATAGAGAAAAATAAAAAGAATCACAACCTATATCAATTAATTCCTTGATTCAACTAAAGAATTTATTTATTTGAGTTCAAAAGGAATTTAATGCTATCCCTATGTCCTCTTATATTCTTGTCTTCAAAGGTACAAGAAATAAAGATTCTTTAGCCTAGGTAAACTATTTTATAGAAATATTCAATAAATATTTGATATTTCAAATTAGTAGTAACAAGATTCATAGGAACCTTACTCATTGACAACATCTTGAAGAATTTTTTCATTCAAGAATTTGCTAAAGAAAAAAAAATTAAAGAAATCCTTCATGCATGTCCTAAAGATCTTATAGCAGACAAATATGTAACAAAAAAAATAGAAAAAATTAATAAAGAATTTGAAAGGCTGTGGAGTAAAGAAGACCACAATATTTCTAGTTTATATCCATACATGCTAGGAATTCTTATGCATCAAGCTCTCAAATGCACAAGCAATTACTATTAGTTATTACAAACCTAGAAACATATCTAGTACCTTTAAATATTAGACCTCCACCTCTTTCATTAGCTTTGATCTATCCTATTAAAAATAATAGGTAGAAGGAGAATTTACAAAAAAAAATGAGGGCATTTCAAGTAGAATTTTAAATCCAAATCTATCATCAAATACAATTAATGATGGAATAATTAGCTGGATTGGCTAGAAATTCCAACTTCAACCTTTCTCAATTTCTCATTAAGTCTGAAAGACATAAAATAGGATTATGGTATATTCAATGTGGACAGTCACGAAATTTGGCTCAATTTTGTAACTTCAAGCTTCTAAAAAACCAACATTTTTAACCATATGCCATACAATAAATAAAGTAAGACAATAAGTAGAATTTTACACATTTTGTAGAAAAAGACACTTATATAGTTAATATTGGATTAAAAATCAAGAAGAGTGCAGAAATTGTAGTGGTATCATCCCAATGAATTTTATAAAAAATCAAATAGAATAGTTTTTTTTATAACTCCTTGTGAGCTCTCAATTATGTTCATGATTTTTTATTTTTAAAATTTTTTTTAGTGATTGAATTAGTTAGATTATGATTCATATAAGAAAAATCTAGTTTTTTAGAATTTGGGGGTTGTAATCTTTGATGGTACAAATCCTAGCCTAATTCATTGAATTAGACTAATTAAAACCAAAGTAATAATATTTAAAAAATTAAAATAGTAATTTAGTTAATTTTATTAATTTAAAGATTGTTAATCATTGCTATAATAGTTGATTGAGAGCCTATGAGTTTACCTACAATCATTTCATATGATTTAGAAGAAATTAAAATTATAATTTTTTAAAAGATTTTAGTGAAGATTAGCAATAGTAGTTTTGAAGTTTTCTTCTCAATTGAACAAATTTAAGTAGCAAAAGGGCTTTTTTAATCAATGGGAGCCTTTCAAATGCAATAGTAGCATTGGATTCATCCTATGGAGTGAAAAAAATAAGATCAGCACCCTCTTTACCAAAATACAAGTAGTGCCGTGAAGATGTCATTTTTGGAGTAATTTTAATAATTACTAAAATCTTTGGAAGTAAATATCTTTGAAAACATTACATATGACCATGAATAAGGATATGTGAGTAGTAGATCTTAGCATAAAAAGGTGTTTTGAATACAATGGTAAAGTTAGATTTACCAAAAAGTGTTTTTTTTTACCACTTACAATAGCCATCAGCCTTCGTAACAAAATTAGTTCTTAGATGAATGAAGGCTGTAGATTTAGATTAGAGATCTTGGAAATCAAGGTTGGAAATGTGGCCGCCTCCTATGAGCCTCCATTCACTTGAAAAAGAGAATTTGGTTGTCCAAGCATTTTTTTTTTTTTTTTTTTTTTTTTGAATAAAAACAAAGTCATGCCAAATTTTGGCTTAAAATGCTAAATTTAATCTCATTTGGATTCTAAATCTCATTTTGTACCTTGTGAGTGTCTGAAGGGATTGATTTTTTATGTGGGTGGTGTTTGTTAAGATTTAGAAGGCACTCCATTGGAATTAATAGTTTCAAATATTTCAATAGTTAAAGGAGTTTGAAGGGCTTCGGATATTCCTCAATCCATTTGTATTTTTTAAGGTTTTGAAAGTAAATTTCATTCAAACACATACTTCTTATTCTTAGCTTCTCAATGAGCTAAGGCTTGCTTGATTTGGAGTTAAAACAATTTTTGGTGAATAATTGAGTGCAAGAGAGTCGGCTACATATGCAATTTGGATTACTTAATTTTGAAAAGGCAATTATTAGTACTTTATAATTGGATAGTTTTTAATCTTTAATAAAAAAAAATATTTATAAGCTTAGCTTTTAAGGGCACTAATTTCATAGAAATTAAAGCTAATATGAATTTATAGTGAATTTCCAAGTGAAGAGGGATAGGCTGTAGTGGCAGTCTCAATTACTCAACTTGAAGGGGCATTTTTCATGGCTCAAGTATTAAATTGCTACAAAGATTTTTAAAATACAAGTGCTTTTAAGTTGAATTCTCAACCAAACAAGAATTATTTGATTTGGAGCTGTTCCAAAATTTTAGCAAATTCTAGAATAGAAGGTCTGTTGCCTCCAAGTGGAGCACGACTGAGGTTAGTTTCTTCCTTCTTTACCATGTTATTTTTCTTTTTACTCTTCACTTTCTGACTTCTAACTTAACCTTAACTCAACTTCCAACCTTCAATTTATTTTAAATTTTTCTTTACTTTTACTTTTATCTTTACTTTTTATTTTTAGTCTATTTTTTTTCTTTATTTTTTCTTTTATATGCTAAATTAAACCAATAAATTATTATTATCATAATTTATATTTATATATCTATATTAAAATAAATAAATAAATATAATTATAACTATAATAAAAAATAATAAATAAAATTGATAACCATTCTTTGAAAAGTAATAAATTAAATTAAATTACAAACACCTACATTTGATTAAATTTAGAAATTTTACAATTAAAAGTTTTTCATTCTACCTCTTGAATCTATTATGTAGCACTAATTTCATAGAGTGGTGGAATTTGGACTCACACTTCTACCTAGTAATAATCTTCAACAGTCATTTGACAATCATAAAGAAGCATGATAATATCCAACAAATAAATAATTGACGCTTCCAAATTTGTACTATGACTATGAAAATAATAGGCAAAAACAAAATATACCTAGTAGGCTACAAACTAATTCTTGATATATTCCACTAAATCCTAATTTAGGTTAAAAAACCTTATAATTAATGAAGAAAAAGCCAAGGATTTCAAGATGTGAGGTTTATGTCTCAATCTATAGGAGAATTGGAAGTTATTCAAAATTTTACCTAATTTAATATCAATTAAGTCTTTTTCCTTGAATTAAATGTAATAACCTTTAAAAAAACCAATTAAAAAAAAGAACCTATTTGTGATATTAATCTTAGTAAAAATGACTAGATCTAAGGTGGCATCTTTATTTATTTATCATGAAGAGAAGGATATTACCTTACAGGATTTACTTTATTTTTTAGATTTAAGACAAGTCATGAGAGACACAA